AAATTAAGAGTAGTGTAATGGTTGATACATCATGTCAACTTGAAAACTGAGAAGGTTAGAAGCTTAACTGACTCAGCAGGTGGCCAGGGGCTTCACTCTGTAAACATCCTTATCTTGTGCAAGAGGTGGTACAGAGATGGTGTGAGTGCTGCACCTGTGTGTGTGTGTGGGGGGTAACCTGCTTACAATGTAAGGGAGGAAGAGGCTTGTTCTCCCTTTTTTGCTCTTGTTGCTTTTTCTGTTTTCTGCCATATTGAACTACTGCCCTTGTGCCATGCCACCCTGCCTTGGGGCTAGCTAATTATGGACTGAAACCTTTACAAACTGTGAGCTAACTAAACCTTTCCTTCCTTAATATTGTGCATTGGGTATCTTGTCTCAGCAGGGAGAGAAAATTAAGACAGGTGGTAGACCAATTAATCTGGTGGAGGAAATTTCAAAGCAGTCCAATGCTCAGGCCATAGCATGGATACTGCTTGCTGGTTTTAGCTAGGTTTACAGTAAAAAACAGGAGCAGAAAGCCCATCTTAAACCTCTTCATGCTGGGGATATAGCTCAGCAGTATGAGCACCTACCTGGCAAGTGCAAGGTCCTGAGTTTTGATTCCTGGTACAAAACAAAACCAAAAACAACACTCCTCAGTTTTGCCAGAAAGAAATTTTCCATAAAGATAGACAGAGGACTGCTTGGCTGCTGAGATTAGCATTAAAAAGAAACCAAGTACTTTACAGCAGGACAATAGAAAGGATGGACTGAGGGAATGAGAGGAACCATCCAGGCCCCACCCATCACAGGCTCAAAATTGCAACCTGAAAGACTACTTGTAGAAGGGAGACACAGGGTACTGTGATTGGGAAAGAGAACAACTGCCTAGGAAATTTGTTTCCTGGGATTCCGTTCCTGCTATACAGCCATCCAGGTCCCTGGAGACTTCTGCAGCCTTGATACAAGGGAGCCTGGCTAGCTGATCAAGCCAGCAGCAGACTCTGGCATTGTCCATGTGGTGGTGATTTTATAGGCATGTAGAATGCAAGAGTTGTGGGATAATGGAGCCTTCCACCCAGATTTGAGAAGAAGGACTGGAATGCCAGACAGGGCAGACCATGCAGCTTTGAAAGTGAAGCTGAATGTTCAGTGCAGACCTAGGAAATAAATGACAACAACATGGAATTTCTGCCATGTTGGAGGAAAGCCATAAGAGACAGACAAAAACAGACCCAAAGAGAAGCTGTGAGGGCTGCAATTACTGGCAATACCAGTAATGCCAGTGAAGTTGGCCCATACAAGCTTTTTGGAGTTCACATGTCAACACAGCTTACCTTGGGTAAGAGACATGGAGCTACAAAATATGTCTGCCACACTGGGTATCAATGTTGTTTGGTCCTGTTAATTTCTATGTCCTTATTTCTCCCTTTTGGAATGGGAATGTTGACCTTGTGACACTGTATGTTGGCAGTTTAATTTAAAAAAAAAAAAAAACAAAACCAAATAGGGATTCATGGCTAATAGTTTGCCTTGAGTCTCAGAGGATTTGGACTTCTCAGTGATGCTGAAACTGTCAGGATTCTGGCAACTCTTAGAGATGGACTACATGTATTTTGCATAAAGGATGTGCATGGATCTTTTGGGGGCCAGAGGGGAATATTATGACTTTTGGAAGGTGGGGCTTTGGAAAGTAAATGGATTATGAGGGTTTATAGCTGACTTGCTCTTAGAAAATGGGGTCTGGTATGAAGAAGCAGATCATTGGGCATATGGCCTGCAAGGATTTATCTCCCTCACCAGCTCCTCTCTTTTCTGCTTCCTATCTGCCATGAAATGAGCAGCTATTCTTCTGCATGCCCCTGTATCCTGTCACCCTGTTTGGGAGCCAGTCACCTACAGACTGTGAGAATAAACTCCTCTTTCTTTCATTTACAGGTGGCATTTATTCCGTCTCAGCCACAAAGACAGTGAGGGTAATATTAGAAGCAATGAAACCCAAATGCTTCCCAACTACTGACAGACTGGCTTCATCTCTGTCAGAAGTAAATGCTATTCATCTTAGCAATCTACAACTCTTCTATATATGGCATATGATAATTAATACCACTCTGGTGGAAGGCTGAGGCACAGGAGGATTCCAACTTTGAGCTCAGCATGGACAACTAAGTGAGACCCTTTCTCAAAATTTAAAAAAAAAAGGGCTGGGGTGTAGGTTAGTGTGAAGGCCCTGGGTTTAGTCTCTAACACTCTCCCCCACCCTTACAAAAAAAAAAAAGAAAATAAAAAGAAATGATGTTAGGAAGAGAAGAAAGGAGCAAGGAGAAAGGGAAGAATAAATGAAAGAAGGAAAAGTAAGAAAGGAAGAAAGAAAGAGAAAAAATACATAGAAAGACAGACATTATACCTAAAAGCAAGTAATAAAGGGTTGGAATACAACTCATTGTCAAGAAGTAAAATAATCACAGACCTAGATTCATAAAGGACCCAGATGTTGGACTATCAGATACAACACTCTACAATGAATACACCAGTACCTACTAAAAACTAGACAACAGTGCTAAACTGGAAACTTCAATTGTGACATGGCAACTATAAAAAGAGTCAAATGTAAATACTAGAAATAAAAAAATAATATCAGAAAATGAAGTATCCTTTTGACAGGTTTATTAGCAGACTAGACATAGAGGAAAAAAGAATCAGAAAGTCAAAGAGAAACCAATAGAAATTATTCAAGGTAAAACACAGAGGGGGAAAACAAGTAAACAAACAAAAAAGAATGAAGCATTCAACAGCTATAAGACATTATTAAAAGGCCTAATATACATGTAACTGGAGTTCCAGAAGGAGATGAAAAAGAAAACAAGGCAGAAGAAATATATGAAGACATAATAGCAGAAAATGTTCCAAAATCAATCAATGATAAAACACAAATCTAAAAATCTCAGCAAACATAAGTCAAAACGAAAAACAAAGAAAATACACCAGCATATTACAGTCAAATGCTAAAAAGCAAAAACAGAGCCTCATATTCCTGAAGACAGAACAAAAATCCCCAAATCCTCAAGAAATGTTTATTTCCTTTTCTTTTTCTTATTAAGGCTATAGCAGAAATTTCAACAAACATACTCTCTTGGGTGAGGGTGTCAAGGTACAGAATCATACTTCAATGAACTCTAGGATGCTATCTAAGTGCATGATTATCTGCCAACTAAACATTTGCAAGTTGCCTTAAGCATTAGCCCAGTTCAGTCTGCCACAACAAAATACCAAACAGAGCATTTGTCTAGACATGACATCCTAAGATGTATAGGATGGTTACCAGCAGTCTCCAGGGGGCATAGTAGGTTTAAAAGATCAGTAACTGACTATAAGAGTTCTAGTCACCCTTTCTCCAACACACAAATATCCATATACTTTAGACAACATCTAAGTTAGAACCTACAAAAGCTTTGTTATAAATCTGGGCTAGGATGTATAGCTACTATAAGTAGTGGTTAATTGTGTCCCCACAAAATGGTATGTTCAAATTCTAACACCTGATATCTATAAATATGGCCTTATTTAGATACAGGGTCTTTATAGATGTAATCAAGTGAAGATGTGGTCATACTAGACTAGGGTGGGCTTTAAATTCAGTGACTGGTATCTTTATAAGAAGACAGTGAAACATGGATGCACAGCTATGTGAAGAAAACAGAGATGAAGTGATACAGCTATAAGCCAACACATGCAAGGACTGCAGGCAAACACCCAAATGTAGGAAAGCCTCCCTAGGGCCTTCCAACAACGCAGCTCTCCTGACACCGTCATATGGGGCCTCTGGCCTCCAGAACTGTGAAAGAATAAATTATTGTTATTTTAAACCATTTAGTTTGTGATACTTTGTTATGATGGCCCTATGAAACTAATGTGATGGTTTTGCTCAAAACTGAGCCATTCTACCTGGTAGAAATGTCAGGAGTGCATCTCCTTCTAAGTTCCCAAAAGGCACTGTGAAGGCTGGCCAAATAGCTGGACTAAAGCACCTGCTTAGATAGGCGCAGGGACCAGGGTTTGATCCTGGACATGCCATGCTGGCCCCGTCCCCAGGGCATGCTGAGCCGTGGACTGAAATTAGGTGTGGTGGCATGCACCTGTAATCCCAGCACTTGGGAGTAATCCCAGAGTTTGGGAGGCTCACTATGAGTGCAATCTGTGTAGTGAGACCCTGCAGTCCCTGTACTAAAATACATTTTAAAAAGACACTATCGATACTTTCATAGTAATCTCAACCCCTTCCTTTGCCTCATTTATGACACTCTTATCATCTTAAAATAGGGTGGTGTATTGTCACTGTGATTCTCATAAAGTCTCACTACCACTGAAGAGGTATGAGCGCGTTACAATAAGGACTCGGGGGCTAAGGAGTGAGAGCATGGTACTGGATAAAGCAATGCTGGGATTACAACCAATTCAGAACACATTCTGTCCCTGACTGGCCTGTCACAAAACTGGCAAATCAGAGAGGAGGTGGGTCAAGGCAAACTCAACATTAGCCCTGGAAAAAATAACTCAAAGGATATACTGTATTCCCAGATGCATCATAGGAAGACATAACTCCCCAATATAATTCTCTAATGCCTGAAAACACACTAATCAGATGATACTAAAGCTGATACTAAAAAGTCACATCTTTCGCTATATAAAATTGGAAGTCATCTTTTCTAGGTCTAAGCAGTAACTCAAGGCACTCAGCACAATTGTAGTCTATAACTTGTTAAATGTTCATTTTTTCCTTTTAGAGGACTAGCTGAGCCTGCATGTTTGTGCTGTATCCCAGGGTCTGGCCAGTGCCTGAGCTACCTTGTGCTCCATGAGTACTGAAAAGTGAATGAATGAATACATGGGAAAAAGGGGAGAGGAAGGGAAAGAAGAATGGAGGGATGAATACATGGAAGAAGGGAGGAAGGAAAGGTATGCTGCTCTGGTCCAAGAGTTCTGTCTTTTAGGCAGTGATAGGCACAAGGCATACTTACTATCAAAGAGGATGATCCTGCCATCACCTCCACAGGGCTGGGTGTGATCCCCAAAGCAGACGCTGTTGCACTCGGTGCTGGCTGCCTCTCCATACTTCCAATAATCAGGGTTGTTCCCACAGAAGCATGCATAGCCTGACTCCATCCCAGCAAACTGTCATGACAGACAAGTAGCACACAGTGAGTGTTGTCAGCCGGCTTGAAGGAGCCTGGCAGGGTTGGTCCCAACGATCAGTTTCATCTTTTCAGGCCACCCTTCCCCTGGGGCTTTTTGCTGGTTCCACTCTACCAACACTTGATTCCAAGCTTATGATGAACTACATACTATCACATACTATGAATATGTTTCCCTATCAATGAGTATCCCTTTTTAATGTTTGCATTTCTACTGTATTTAATTAAGGGGAAGAACTGGACATGGAAGCACACACCTGTAATCCCAGCACTCGAGAGGTTGAAGCAGGAGGACTGCCACATTTAGAAGCCAGCCAAGGCTACAAAGTGAGCTCAAGAGCAGCATGAACTGCATGGTGAGACTGTCTCATTTGGGACTCCCCTTTCTATCATCTTAAAATATGTCATCTATCACTTCTATCTTGTAGCTAACTGTGGTCTTGATTTGTACTTCTTTAATGGTTTAGGAAGCTGAATATCATTTTATGTGCTTATTTACCATCAGTGCATTCTCCTTGTGAAGTATCCAAGTCTTTTGACTATTTTTAAATTGTGTTATTTGGCTTTTTACTGTTTGACTTTTTAAAGTTTTTTGGTTATGTGAAGAATTCTTTTGGTATTTTATTGGGACTGCATTAAGTCTGTATATCAGTTTTGGAAATACAGCCATTTTGACTGCTTGGTTCTGCCTACCCAAGAACATTTACATTTTCTGATATCCTCTTCAATTTCCTTTTTTATAGTACTGTAATTTTCTTTATTGAGATCTTTCACTTCCTTACTTAGGTTAATTCCTAGATATTTACTTTTTCTTATTCCTATTATAAATAGCACTTTCCCCTCTAATTTCTTTCTTGATGGTTTCATTATTGGTGCACAGGAACAATACTGATATTTGTGTGTTGATTATGAGGCCTGCTATTATTAAATTTGGTTGTTAATTCTAAGAGTCTTTTGGTAGATTCTTTGGGGTTGTCTATATAAAAGATCGTGTCCCTTTTATTTTTTTTTCTTGCCTAATTGCTTTTGCTAATGTATCAAGTACTACGTTGAAACAGAGTAGGGGTACTGAGCATCTTTGTCTTTTTCCTGATTTTAGACGGAAAGCTCTCAGTTTTTCTCCATTTAATGTTGGCAGTAGGCTTGTCACAAATAGCTTTTATCCGATCGAGATAAGGTCCCCCTGTACACCTATTTTCCTCAGTGTTTGTAACATGAAAGAATGTTGGGTTTTGTCAATGGATTTTTCTGTTCTATTGAAACAATCGTGTTGTTTGTGTCCTTGTCTCTATGTGATGTATTACACTTACTGACTTGCATGTGTTCAATTATCCTTGAATTCCTGGGATAAAGCCTACTTGATTATAATACATGATGTTTTTCTATGATGTGTTACATTCTGTTTGCCAGTATTTTGTTGAGGATTGTTGTATCTACATAATCTATAGTTCTCATTTTTGGACAGATCCTTGTCTGATTTTGGAATCAGGTTAATGCTAGTTTCTAGGAATGACTTTGGGAGTACTTCTTCCTTTCAATTTCATTAAAGAGCTTGAGGAATATCAGTGTTGATTTTCCCTAAAGTTATTGTAGAATTCAACAATAAATCCATCCAGACCTAGAATTTTCTTAATTGGTAGACCAACCACGAATGAACCCAAAGAAACTGTTAAACTTCCTACCTTTAAATTATGGGTGTCAAATATTTCATTCCAGCAATGGGTAAGTGACTAATATACCTCATTTTTTCCCTCTATTTCTTAGTTAGCATTCTCTGAGAAAGAATATTTTTCTTCTCATTCACTAATATAGATTTATGGCTCAATTTATTCAATGGGGCATATTTACTGTATTATTATCATTATGTTTAGATTAGAAACTCAAATTATATCAGATTTGACTGGTAGGAACTCCTTCAAGGTGGCTTTTGTGTCCCTGTGGCAACTGTATATAACTGTCTATTTTCCTATATAAGATGTTTCAGGATCATTTTGCATTTTCTCAGAACTAGTACTATAATCAGTAATTTTCTCTAAGGAGCTTCTTTTAGTGGAGAATACTATTTAGAAATCAGATCTGGGTGCTAAGTATACTACTCTCTGCTATCAGTATGTCACTGATCCTAGGCTCACCCAATGGGCAGAGCTTAGAAACACATGTGTACATATATACACACACAAAGACACACCATGCCCTTATACTAATCCAATCCCTACCCAACATTTAGGCTTTATTCCAGTTTTTTTTTTTTTAATGTACTTATACAGAGTCTAAAGGGTCTCGCTTACCTTGGTCTTAACCATCCAGCAGAAAAGTATAAAAACAAAGCATAAGAAGTAAAGCCATGGTGTTATGTTGAGCTGTAGGGGACTCAGGTCAACATTGCCAGTGAAGCGGAAGACCCAATACTATTATGAACTACTGAACTCTTTTAGAATATTTTGCTGAGTTTACACGCCTATAATATTTAAATGATGGAACTTAACAAAAAAAGGGGATACAGATGAATGTCCATTTTGTATCTGTGTATTCAAAGTGGTTAGGATAGATATACAGTTACATTCTCTTAATGAATAGAGGAGTTTGTTCTAATGGTATTTGTAAATAGAATGTCAAGTCTGCATCTTGTACAGCAATTAACCACTAGGAAGAATGTATATAATGTGTTAATTATTGAAACTGTCCTACCAATTTGGTTTGAAACTGTCTCATTGCTATTTGTTTCTCAATAAAATTATGGAAAAAAATAAAAATAAAGAGTCTCACTACAAAGATTGGACTCATAGCAATCCTCCTGTTCTCAGCCTCCCAAGTGCTGGGGGCAGGCTGGCATGGCAAGCCAGGGATCGAAGCTAGTCCCTACATCTGCCTAAGCAGATGCTTTAATCCACTGAGCTATCTGGCCAGCCCTTTTATTCCAGTTTTTGATACATTCACTCATGCTCATCTACTTGATCACATTGGGTCACCTGCCTTCCCTAGCCACTTGTCTCAATAGGCCCTGAACCCTGAAAAGCTATCTTCCTTGCTTGGGACTAATTAAGGGACCTTAGATAGGAAGGAAAGAATGAAAGGAAGGAGGAGAAGTAAGAAAGAAAGAGAGAAAGACAAATCTTTTCCTACTTTTCTGATATAACAAACAATAGTATTATTGAGCCTTAAAGATTAAGGAATGAATTTCGGGAAAAAAAGAATGGATAGGAAGAAAAAACAATTATTTTGTCTTAGTAAACTGGCTAGGGCCCAGTAATCCATTAAGAAAGAAAACCACTACCTTGGCTTATTCTCAGATTCTCTGTGGATACAATGATAGCCCATAATACACAAGGGCACAAATACATAAGTCAGTCAGGGGGTCAAACAAAGATGCTGCTATGTATTGGAAATTTTCTTCCCAGTCCTTAAACAAAAACACTGCCTCACTCTCCTGAATCCTAAGCTTACTCCAATTTTTCCTTCTCAGAAAGTTATATGGTTTGACAGGCCTTTTAAATAACACATATTTTTAAATTACTGCAGCAAAATACACTTAAATCTTTAGCTTTTTCTACAGTTATATATCCACAGGGCCATTACCTTGAACCTCTGACTCCGACAGAAACTGATGCAGGTCTGTATGGTAAGTTTGTTGGATGTTTTACTGGTGCCAGTTAGAGGAGGTGGGTTTCCATGATCTTTGTAACAGCCAAGGTTTCCAGGCACTAGAGAGAAAGAACAAGAAAAAAGAGAATTTCATAACATCTGGCTGTGAAACACCAAGAAGGAAAAGCAATCTATGCCAGGTACTTTCATCTGAGCCAATATTTGTACTACTGAGGTACAAATAAATAAATGAATAATAAGTAACCAGCTTTAAAGTGGAAACCTCAGCATTCTCTGCTAAACACCATGTGTTTGCTTTATTCTGAAGTGTACTGGAGATCCAGATCCCTTTTTAATGTGCTCTAAGACATTTCATTTTACTATGTCAATAATGATAGGATTTAATACAGAAGAGAATGAACAAACAGTTTCCTAAAAATAGAGAACTTACAATATGTAAATTTTTTCATAGTCACTAAGGGCAAAAAAAGCCCCCAAAAGTCCATTACCCTATAATTTGTACTCAAACTCCTTGTTTCTTAAAAAATGCCTCAAGTGGGTTTCCCTAAGGTTTCTTGGGGAATTAGCTTCCTATTGCTTCTGGAAAAAATTACCACAAACCTACTGGCTTATAACAACATACATTTATCATCTTCCAGTTCTAAAGGCCAGAAGTACTACATGGATATTACAGGGCTAAAATCAAAATGTCAGCAAAACTGAGTCCCCCCTGGAAGCTCAAGGGAAGAGTCTGTTCCTTGCCTTTTCCATCTCCTAGAAGCTGCCAATATTCCTTGGCTTGCAGCAGTGCACCCCCTTCTTCCATCATAATCTCTTTCCCTCCCTCTACTTCTGTCACAGTGCCTTTTCTGACTCAGATCTTCCTGCCTCTCATTGTTATAAGAACCTGTGATTACACCATATATGTAAATAATCCAGGAACATCTGTCCATCTCAAAATCCTTAACCACATCTGAAAAGTTCCTTATGCTATCAAAAACCATATATTCACAGACTCTAGGGTTTATGACAAACATCTTTGGGGGGCTATTATTCAATCTACCAATGATCATATTAGTGTGTTACAACCACATACCAAATGGTTTGGTCTGGTCTAGTTTAAAAAAAAAGAAGGGGGGGCACTGGGGAGATGGCTCAGTGAAATAAGTGCTTCCCTGGGAAGCACAAGGGCCTGAGTTCAATCCCAGGTTCCACAAAACAACAACAACAACTCTGTGAGAATAGAGGAGTCCAAATAAAAGTACCAACTATTGATAGTCAGCTTTCAAAGATAGATCTCAATGATCCTATTAACTAAATGTTTGATTAACACTGTAATGCAACAAAAAATTTTTCCAGGCATGGTGGCACACACTTATAACCCCTGCACTCCTGAGGCTAAAGTAGGAGGACTGCTACAAGCTCAAGGCCAGCCTGAACTATAAAGTGAATTTAAAGTCAGCTTAAACTATAAAGTGAGATCCTGTCTCAAAGAAACAATAAACCCCCCCCCCAACACACACATTTGGTCTCTGTTTCATTCCTGCTTCCAATTCCTTTAAGTTTCCTGGATAATAGCAACATCTTCTGTTCTAATGAGGCAACTCTTGGTGATTTCCTGGCTAACTTCAGGGTGGGTTCTGGTCACCAGAAAGACCATACCATGATTAAAAACTTGAAACTTTCAGCAACATCTCCCCTTCTCCAGAGAGGAGGAAGGGGCTAAAGATTGAGTTAATAAATGATGAAACCTCCCTAAAAATTCCCGAAAGATGGGGTTCAGAAAGTTTTCAGTTGGTAAACACATCCATGTGCTGCAGGTGTAGCACACTCCACAGGGACAGAAGCTTCTGTGCTAGGGACCCTTCCTGACCTTAAACCTATATACTTCTTCATCTAGCTGTTCAACTGTACCTTTAATATATCCTTTATACTAAATTGATAAATGTGTTTTCATGAGTTCTGAGCCTGACAGCAAATTATGAAACCCAGGGAAGGTCATAGGAACCCTTGATTTGTAGTCATCTTTGACAGAGTATGGGAAACGTGGGGCCCACTACTTGTAATTGATATCTAATAATGGACTGCAATCTTATGGAACTGCATCCTTAGGCTGTGAGTCTGCACCAACCATAGGTAGTCAGTGTTATAATTTAATTGTAGGATATCCAGATGGTATCTAGAGTTGGAGAACTGGGTAGTCTGGGAAAACCCACCTATCTGCCAGTTGGTATCAGGAGTGAAGTGTATGAATGTACAATACAGAAATAAGTTTTTGTTTTGTAAGTTTTTCTCTTTTATTTCCCGTCTCAAATTCATCTGTTGAAGCCTAAATCCCTCACATGATGACATTTTCCATTAGGGTCTTTGGGAGATAAGTAGGATTAAATGAGGTAAACAGGGCTGAGTCCCATGATGGGATTAGTGCCCTTATAAGAAAAGAAAGAGTTCAGAGCTCACTCCCTCTACCATGTAAGGATATAGCAAGAAAGTGGCCATCCACAAACCAGAAAGATAGCCCTCACCAGATACTAAATCCGAGGGGCCTTAACCTTGGGCTTCGCAGACTACAAAACTGTGAGAAATAAATCTTTTATTTAAGCTACCCAGGTCAATAGAACTTTCTCATAGATGCCCAAAGTGCCTAAGATAGAGTCCTACCTCATATAGTTCATGTCTTGTGGAATCTCTTCCTCTGTGTATGGTGTGGACTAGTGATTTGATTCTAACAGAATGTGGCAAAGTTGATGGGATGGCATTTATGTGACTAGGTTATAAAAGGTTGTGGTTGCATTTTGCTAGCAGATTCTCTATTGCCTTCTTCGAGCAATATGCCATGATAGAGGCCAGGTAGCAAGGAACTAAATGTAGCCTTCAGGCAACACAGCTAAGCATTTCAGTTCAACAATCTACAAAGAACTAAATCATATTAAAAATTATATGCAATAGAAAATGGGTCTTTTCCCAAGTTGAGCCTTAAGACTCCGATCCTTTTGAGAGAAAACATTTTTGAGAGAAAATTTGATTCAGAGGACCTAGCTAAATTATACTCAGGTCTCTGGACTCATAGAATATGTAAAACAGTAAGTGTGTGTTATTTTAAGTCACTAAGTTTTGGGATAAGTGTTACACAGCAAAAGACAACTACTACACTGGTTTATTGAAATTATCTTTTTTGAATGAAGAAATTAATTCATTGTGGGTCATGGATAAATCAGCTTTTCTCAACTGGTTTTTCTGATGAGGCAATTCCCAGCAGGTTCCTAGATAGCTTTGGGGTGGGGCTTATCACTAGAAAAACCAAGCCATTAGAACATAAAACTTTCCAGCCCATCCCATTAGTTTTCCAATGTTGTTATTAATTCAAGAACCACTTTAATATCCATCAACGCCCTCTTCCTTTCTCTGTTTAGCTCCTCATAACTTATATAACTAAAAATATAAGACATGAATAATATTAGGCCCTAGAAGCACTCCTAGGTCAACTGAGAGTTACATATTATTCAATTCCAAAGTGCTAGCCATACAGTCTTGGGTAGATAAGTAGCACTGTCCAATTTAATAAATTCAATCTCCACATTAGTCTTTTAAGCATATAAATATGTAAGTGTAACATACATTTAAAAATTTTCTTTGGCTATCTAACCAGCTCATTTTAAATTGGCAGGAAGTAGCTCTGCTAACCCAAATACTCACCCTCCCCCCTTAAGCCTAGTGGTTACCCTTCTCCCTTGCGTCATACATGGTTCAAATATAACAAATGCGGCTCACCACACAAATGTTAAAATGCATCTTTCGGAAACAAACCAAATCTCTATAGTAGCAAATGTAAACACAATAGCTCTAAGCAGTAGCAGTCCATTGTTCAGTGGGGGCTTGGCTTGGGAATGTTTGGGTTTTAAAGCTTAAACAACTACAGAAAGAAACATTTCTAGTCAGGGACCTATGATTTAAGCTAAGTCTGTTAAAGGGACCTTACATATAAAAACCTGAGCCATGCATTTAATGGTTCTTAATAAGAATTATTATTAATATTCTTGATAAGAATTATTATTGATTGTGACCGTCTTGGTCATTGACTCAAATTATTTTGTCTCATTTATTCCATTGTGCTCACAAGTAAGCATGTTATTAAGTATTCATCTATAGAGAACCCAGGCATATAATCATAAACATTAAGGTTGGAAACAAGCAAAGGCATGGGTTGCATTAATACAGCTGGAACCTATAAGCTTTATTTACAACAATTCAGTGAACAAATCCAGGCAGCTTACTTCCCAACAGGGCAATGAAGTTCTAAAACATACCACAAAGTAGATCACTGGGATCCAACTGTACTCTGCTGCTGTTCTAATGCCTTTGAACATCAATGGTCTGAAGCATCATCTTTGCTCCCCAAGTCCAACTACTCTCCATTCTACCTCCTAAAATATCGTGTGCATCTGTCTGTGCCTCTCTATCCGTGTGCTGCCATTTTCTCAGGTGAAGACTCCATCTCCTCACACTTAGACCACTGTGGCCGACTCTCCTATTTCATCTCCATTTCTGGCTTAGCTACTCTAGGTAGCACAATGCAAACAAAATAATTCTTACACTAAAGGCCAGGAAGGAAGAATGACAAGTGTAGAGAACTTAGGCAAGAATGACATTGGCCTTGGTAGGAACAGTAAAGCTTGAGCATGATCACTGATGGGGGAAGGAAAGCAGTCGGAAAGGTATGTGAGCCCTGCCTCAGACCCATAAAGCTCCCTGGTTGCCGCACAGAATCAAGTCCAGATCTTTTTACATACTATACAGTGCCCTATTCCATCTGCGCTGTTTCTCTTTTTCCTGCCTATATAATCTCTCCCTCTACTCCTTGGCTAACTTCTATATGAAGGCCAAATTGCAGAACATTTGCAAGTTTCTAAGTGTACTTTGCTCTGTGGTCTCTCAATCTTTACACCAGCTATCTCCTCTGCTTAGAACACTCTCCTTAAGCTTAATGCCTAGTTAAGATTCAGCTTGAGCACCACTTTCTGTGAAAAGCCCATGACCCTCTCATCTGCTCTTCTCCCTGCCACCCCAACAAAAAAAGAGAAGTATGGTCCCTGGCTGTGCAGTCTGATAGCAGTCTATG